ATTGAGGAGAATATGGTGGTGTCATTTCTTGAAAAATACTATATTATAAACAAAATTCATCAAATGATTCAACGTAATCATCACTATGATAATTTCTCATCATCTTAATCATTTTATTAAGTTAGTTTTTGCCTTCTTATTTTAGAGTATAAATTTCTTTATAACTTCATCCTTGCTCTTAAGCAAATACATATAGTAATACTTTGTGTTTTCATTAATGAAGGTAATAAAAATATTTATTCACTTATCTCGTTTGAATAAATTTAAAGTCATAAGTGTTGCTATGTATTAAATTAAATGTTTTAGTATTTGTTTCAATAGTTTGAAAAAATGACATTGTTAATTTTGCCTCAACATATGTTTCACATATATAATTATAATTAATGTGAAAAGAATGAATGTGTTTCATGTTAATTAATCTATGCAGGGTAACATAATTAACATGTCAAAGCCTACCATACCATAAATTAAATGATTCAAGCATATAAACTGAAGAAGAAGTGGTATACTTATTCATGCTTTTGACTTTCATAAAGATAGCATTGAGTTTTCACATATCATTAAATACATATCCTCTACCCATAAATATTCTCCTAGACAAAATCAACTTTTGGGATTCAAATACAATTCTAAAGCAATGAACACTTAAGAGCATTCTAAAAATAAGTTTTTTTCCCATATGTCAGACACATATAACACATTCTACAGCTTGAGTTGTTTAAGGTGTCAATTCAGAAAAAATTCTTATCGCTATAAATATAACGCGTGACTCCAATATCAAGTCATCTTTCTCTTAGATTAGAGTCAACTATGTAATTTCAAAGATCACAACACATAGATCTAAGTCCTCCTCGTCCTTAGCCATTCTTTCCACAATATTAGTCTCATAAGCTTTGGCTTTCTTTAGACGTCTGCACTCAGAGGACTATCATTCCTCATCTGTAGCACTTTTCTTGCAAAATTTTCCTTCTTAAATAGGCTTCATCTTTGACTATTTTTGGGTTGTTTTCCCTTCATAAAATCCACGACTTCTATCACATTTGTCTTAACCTCTTTGAAAATTTCTTTGTTGAGTTTATTGTCATTAACTTTATAGTTCTCTTCTATTTGTAGTCTGACAATTAGTTATTCAACAATTATTTTCTTCCTTTTTTGCTTCAGATAATTCTTGAAGTCACTCTATCTGAGATATAATTTTTCAATAATAGCGGCTACTAACAATTAGTTATTCAACAATTATTTTCTTCCTTTTGTGCTTCGGATAATTCTTGAAGTCACTCCATCTGAGATATAATTTTTCAATAATATTGGCTATTAGAAAGATTTGCTATAACAATTCTTTCAGCAGTAATTCCATAAACAATTACTTGAAGTTCCTCAACTTGATTTACTATGAGTTTATAATCAACTATAGTATAATTTAAAAAGTTTTTAACTTTAGCATCTTCATCTTTTTATTTGTGGTCTAATGTCTCTTACAATTTCTTAGTTGTTTCATGAATAACATATACCAAATACAGTGAATCCTGTAGACCATTATGAAAATAATTTTGGCATATAAAATCAGTTTGCTTCCAAGCATTAACAATATGGAAGGTGGTAATATTGTTTACCTCTCCTTCTCCTTCTTTAAAAATAGTAGGATATTCTTAAAGAACTTCGTAAGATTCATTGTGGTCATACAGAACAACATCTTTTATTGTCATGTCTTGAAATTCTGTCCATTAAATTTCACTCGCTTCTCGTTGTGGTTGCCATTGCTAGTTGACTCACATTCAAATTTAGATCATGAATCAGAATCATCATTCTAACATCCACATTGGGTAAATCAGTTGAGTCTATTGTCACCATTATTTATGTAAAAGAAATAAAACTATAATTAGTAATAATTCTAGTAGACAAAAAATTAATTATCATTTATTTTTTATTTTGTCATTGAAAGAGTCTACACTCTGAAACAAAATTAGTAACTAATATTACTTTAACGCTAATTTTTAGAATATAATTGTGCACTTTAAGATTAAGCAAATCCGTTAAAACAACAGAAAACAAATTTATTTAATATCTCAATTTTATCACGCTTTTCAAATCATCTTGAATTAAAGAAAGGTATAAAAAATTATCTTAATATTGTTATAAAATATAACAACCTGAGACGATAATAACCTCTAAGATAAGAAAATAAACAAAAATTAAATTTCCTAAATAATAATAAAAATATGTATAGAAAGAAATAATCTATCTGATAGATCAATTATTCAAAAATAAATTGAAGTATGTTGCTACAGAGTTTCCTTAAGACAGATTTTTGGCCACTCTTAGATGCTCGAGATCGTTGATTGTCTATCTCATAAGATACAATAACTAAATGATCAACGTACATTAACACAACTGTAGAGATCACGAACTATTCATTATTTTCGCCTGTCACCGAAAAACTAGATAAAAAGAAAAGATAATTTTTCAAGTTGTTTCAAGTTTTTAAATTTTGAATTAAGTCAACATAATATTTATAGGGATTCTCAAAGGAGATTTACTTAAAATAGATATATTTTAATATTCAAGTTTAAATAGATAATTAATATCTTTTAATTTGAAATATTCAAAAGATATCTATTAATATATAAATTTAAAGAGATGATAAATATCTTTTAATTTAAAATATACTTACCTTTTAATATTTAAATTTAAAGAAATAATAAATATTTTTAATTTAAAAATTGAAAAATATATAACCATGTTTTAATATTCAAAGTAAAATAAATAATAAATATCTTTTAATTTAAAATATTTAAAAGAATACAATTATCCTATTAATATTCAAATTAAAAATATAATAAATATCTTTTAATTTAAAATATATAAAAATAATATAAATTTAATTTAATTATCAAATCTATCAATAAATTAACTCACTCTTTCCAGCAAATTATTTAATAACAAGGTAAAAATATTATTTTTCCAATTAAATTAAATAAATCAAATGTGGAGTCAAATTTAAAATAATATGAGACTATCTTAGATTACAGTAAAAAATATTTTTTAACTCACTCTTTCCAGCAAATTATTTAATAACAACTAATCTAAAATAGTAATCAGATAATTGTATTATAAAACATCAATAAATTATTATTAATTTGTTATTACAGTAAAAAATATTTTTTTATTAAGCTAAGACGATTATAAAATAATATTTATTGTAAATACTCTAAACCATTTAATAATAAACATTAAATCACACTGCTACAGTCACTGATGCTTTAACCCTTGACCTCATGGAAAAATAATGATTTCTTTAACCACTGAGATAAGTTGATTTGTGCTATATGAAAGTTTAGGTCAAGGGTGACTCCCCAGTCCAGGACCAGAGTAAACCTAAGACCCAATTGCGATTTATATAGAAATTTGAACTCTTGACCTTGCTTTAAGTGATATTTTCAACCCAGTTTGTTCCATTCGCAATCGCCATAATTTGAACTCTTGATATTGCTTAAGAAATCTAATGTTTCATCCCACTAAACTAACTGCTTATTGATAGAGTTAAAGGGTTATTTAATCGTGATCTGATGTGGTTAAACGATGTCAAATGTGATTGAATAATTGATTTACTATTAAATAATGTTTGTTGTTATTTTGTAACTTCTGAAATTTTAGTTGTGAAAAAAATTACTCTTATTTTATTCACTATTTTGTAATTTACCCTTAGATTTATTGGATTATTATAAAATGATATTAAAGTTGTCAAATTATTATAAAAGAATCAAATTTATCGAGATTTATTACTGTATATAATTCTACAATAATTATTATTAATGATTTAATAAATCTAATGATTATTTTATGTCATTTTGTAATTGTAAATTGTTTACTTTGCTTGTAGAAAAAGTGTAACATATCATTTGCTACGTTATCAATATTTTTATATAATATTTGCTTCAATATTTTAAATTATAACGAAGATTTACGATTATAATCATAACATTTTTTATAATCATTGACATAGAAATTAATCACTTAAAATCACATAAGGATTATATAAGAAAAGATTAAAAATCCTAACTAAAAACTCGAATAAAGATAGATACAAACATATATGATTGCATTAGCAAGCAAACAATCAAAAAAAAAGGGACGTGGAAAATTGAATCAGCAAACAAAGCTGGATGCGAACATACTGAAAGGTCATTGACAAATTGTAAATCAGAATCGAGCGACGTGGAAAACTATCCATAAACGTAAACCGGGTATTCAAATCTAATCTTAGAGTCCAAAACAGAGAAGATAACATGATAACAGATAAATATCATCTTAATCAGTTGTGACGATATCAAATCAACCCTTAAGAAAAGATAAATGAAAACAATAATTAAACGATCGAAAAATATGTAAAAAGACAAAAGAAAATGCACCATAAAGACATACAAACATACTTATTACAAATAAAAATAAATAAAGATCATGTTATATAAAAAATAAAGGGACAATAAAAAATATCGACATTCGACAACTAATGTCAAAGTATGTGTCGCCTTCGATCAATAAAAAATATGTGTTACTACATTGTAATCATTCAAACTATTAAAAAATATAAAAAATATAAATAAAAGATAAAAATGATGAAAATTATTCGTTATAAAAAGGTTTGTATAAATAAGTATTTAAGTTATATTCTTTTTATCATCTAAGTAACTAAAGTATTTTCAATCGAAATAAATATTTAAACTTAATTTTTATCAAAAATATGTACCTAAAATAATTTTGGTTAAAATAAGTACATGAAGTATTTAATTTTTTCATCTAAGTATTAAAAAAGTTGATATGCGACATTAATTAAAGAATATTTTAGATATTTAAATAAAAAAATTAAATAATTTAAATATCTATTTTGATCAAAATATTCTTTAAGTACCTATATTGATAAAAAAAAAATTACGTACTTAATTTAATATGTAGACTTATCCAAAAGGGCACTGCATATCCTGCAATCAGCATGAGCATTCAATTTAAAAGAAAAAACGCTATGAATAAATAAAAATCTCTAAGTTTCTCGATCGGGGCTTGGACTTTGATCAGTGTCGCGTTCAATCCTCCAGTCTCCATCGATCTGATTATTCGATCCCATCTTCGTTAGGTATAACCCCTTTTTCTTTCCCTTTTGAGTTATACTCTATAAATTTTAGGGTTTTCTTATTTTAATTTGATTTTGAGGTTTCGGCCTTGTCTGATTAGCGAAATGTGCTGGTTCCGTGTTTTATTTTCTCGATTAGCTAAGCATTCCTTTGTTCTTTAACTTCTGGTTTTGGATTCTTTCTTGGGATTGACTCAGATTAGTTTTGACCAATCTAAATCATATGGTTGACTGATTACGAGATCTGACTAGTTTTTGCCTGAAAGGAACGAATTTAGGGTTGTTTTGAGTTCTTAGATGTTGAACTGAATTTGGACTTAAATTTTTGGTCAATTGAGTTGGGATAACCATTCAGGAACTAAATATGGATTAAAACTTTCCCAAAACTGATTTTTGGTCACATAAGTTGTATCATTTTCATATCTATAACACGGACTGTTTTGAATGTTCTCTTTAGTGATGGTATGCATATTTTTGTTTTACATGGAACGATTTTATTGGAAAAGTATTACATGTTATTTGTTATGAGCTCTTTAATTTCAAAAATTATGCTTTTTGTTTTTTTGTAAAAAAAGAGAACTGTTTTCTTTCTCTTTAGAAACAACTTTTGAAGAAGTATATAGAGCTTATATTTTGATTATTGTATATTCCAAGTTGTGCTAGTTGATGGTTCAATTTCAAAGCTTTTATTTGCAGATTAATCAAGATTTTTATTGATGGGAACATCATCTGGTTCTAATATTAACCATCAGCATTCATCCAAGATGTTGCCCCCTCGTCAACAACCACGGTCAGGGAGCTTACATACGTCATTGTCCTTGGTCTCCTCAGATCCTCGCTTGTCACCTGATCCCCATGAACACAAATCGAACTCGGATAACGTTCACGAATCTCCTAATGAGAGTGCTAGCTCACGAGAAACTTGGCCTACTGCTGATGCTGTCGCACCAAAGGAGATAGAAAATGTGAAAATGGAAAATGATTGCCTTGAGCAGTCTGTTATTCGTCGTGTTTCTAGTGCTGATAAGATAACTCTTCGAGACATTGCTAGAGAAAGAGTTGATGTTATATCGGAAAAGATACAACACCTACCTGATGAGTATATAGATGAGTTGAAGAATCAACTCAAGGCTATCCTAGAAGGCAACGGTGGTTCACAGAACAGGGAAGAGTTTTTTATTCTTCAGAAGTATGTTCAAAGTAGATCTGATTTAACAGCAAAGACACTAATAAGAGCACACCGGTCACAACTTGAGATCCTTGTTGCAATAAATATGGGAATTCAGGCATTCTTGCATCCAAACGTCAGTCTTTCCCAAACTTCTCTCATCGAGGTATTTGTCTACAAGAGATGCAGAAATATAGCATGCCAAAACCAGCTACCTGCAGATGACTGCACCTGTGAAATATGTGCCAATAGAAATGGCTTTTGCAATCTTTGTATGTGTGTTATCTGCAACAAGTTTGATTTTGAAGTAAATACCTGCCGCTGGATTGGCTGTGATTTGTGCTCCCATTGGACTCATACTGATTGTGCTATTCGTGATGGGCAAATCTGTATGGGCCCTTCAGTTAAACGTGCAGCAGGTCCTACTGAAATGCTCTTCAGGTGTCGTGCTTGCAATCGACCATCTGAGCTGTTAGGTTGGGTTAAAGATGTCTTCCAGCATTGTGCTCCAGCCTGGGACAAGGAGGCTCTTATGAGAGAACTTGATTTTGTTAGTAGGATATTTCGTGGAAGTGATGATCCTGGAGGGAAGAAACTCTTTTGGAAGTGTGTGGATCTTTTAGAAAAAATGAGGGGTGGACTTGCAGAGTCTGCAGCTTGCAGATCGATATTAGTATTTTTCCAAGGTACAATACATGCTAGTTATTTAATCATCATGCAAAATATCATGTAATTTTTTCTTCTTGTCTGGTAGAAATTACCTGGTGAATGAAAAATACCCCGAAGTGAAATATTAGGAGTTTATTCGAAGATTTCCTATTTTAGGTTTATTTTAGAACCAAGGCTTCAGCACCTACAATTGCTTCACACTTTCATAAGAGCATGAACATTCTTGTAGATGTTCTCTCCGTGAAGTAAAAGAAGTAACGAGTCTTACTATAGAGGCTTGAACTATTAGTTGAAGCAATTAGACTCCAAAATCTGAAAGTACAAAAGCAAATCATGAGGAACTGCTAGTCTTGCAATAAAAAAAACTCGATTCTAACAATTTTGTTGTCTATCAAGAATATTTTGTTGCATAAAAGATCTACTTTTTTATTAAATCATTGTACTTGCTGTAGAACTTGGCTTAGATTCCCCAACAAGCTTGGAATATGTGGAAGGTGGGCGGCTGATAGCACCACAAGATGCTTGTAATAGAATTGCAGATGTAGTGCAAGAGGCCATAAGGAAGATGGAAATGGTGGCTGATGAAAAGATGAGACTGTTCAAGAAAGCTCGGTTGTCCCTTGATGCTTGTGAGCGGGAGCTCGAGGACAAGGCCAAGGAAGTAGCAGAACTAAAGCTGGAGAGACAGAAAAAGAAGATGCAGATAGAAGAGCTGGAGAAGATTGTAAGGCTTAAACAGGCAGAGGCTGATATGTTCCAGCTTAAGGCCAATGAGGCAGAACGAGAGGCTGAGAGGCTTCAAAGAATTGCTCTTGCGAAGGCAGATAAATCAGAGGAAGACTATGCCAGCAGTTACCTGAAACAGCGCTTGAGTGAGGCGGAGGCTGAAAAGCAGTATTTGTTTGAAAAGATCAAGCTGCAGGAGAGCTCACGTGCGCAGCAGAACAATAATGGAGGCGATTCTTCAAAGGCATTGATGTATTCCAAAATCCATGATCTGCTTCATGGATACAATTCCCCCTCTAAGACCGAGTCCCGACCAAACGATCACAATGGTTTTAGAACAAATCCCTAAGGAAGTCTGACGCGAGGTCGGAATGTGTTGATTGTGGTGAACTAGACTAAAAGATTTGGTGCTTTAATTTATCTATGAACCTTCAATCTTCAATCTTTGTATGATAATTGTTGTCCTGTAAAACAATTAGGTGTGGTGAATCTGGTTTCTCCTTATTTAGCTTTTCTAATGGTTCATAGTATCATAAACATATTGTCCTAATGCAATGAAGATGTTATGGTTTAGGGACGGATGTTAAATTTTATGTTAGGGGCAACCTAAAATTCTAGGGGTATGACATATTTTCAATAGAAAATACATGGCAATTTTAAGTTTTAAGGGATGATTGCCCCCAGCCCTGGGTCCATCCCTGCTATGGTTTCAGTCTCTTCATGATTGAATTCAATAGCCGAGACAATTGAAAAACATAATCAGAAAAAATAAATCTTGTTTGCAGAATAGACGAATCTTTCTTAGTTCATTTTTACTTTTCAAGGGTATTGATTTATCATGTCAAATTGTATACCAAACAAAGCTTCCATTTTTACTTCTTTGGACCAGATGCGTTTATAGAACATAAATTTATATAATTTTGTGTGTTGGTTGAGTTTGCAATTTTATATAACTGAGAAGCAACACTTCTGTATAGATTTTTGAGTGGGATATTGATGGAACTGGTTTTTTCTGCAATGTATATAAAGATGTCCGAGAACAGTAAGCTGTTTATTGGTGGGATATTTCAGTAGTTTTGGTGTAGTAGAGGCGGTGTTCATGAAGGACCGGACCACCGTGGTTGTTTTCTCCTATCCGGCTGACGCAGAGATAGTTATCAAGGAGAAACACAACATTGATGGCAGGACGGTAAGCAGTTCATTGAGCACACTTTCTGGGCGGTGTTCTGTTCATTGATGCCATTAGGTTTGCTGAAACATAAAAGATAAATACCGGACTGAGTCAGGATTCCTATTCGAAAGTATATATTTTTTTTCAAAAAATAGGGAGCGATTCATAATTATCTCATAAATATTTAAATTTTATATATAAATTAAATGTAGGCTTTTTACCTGGTTGGGACCCCTCCCATATATGTAGGGTTGTTCATTAGGTTAAAACCGAACCGAATTAACTATAATCGAATTAATCGATTTTTTTTTTCTTTAACCGTTAATCAAATTGATTTTTTTTTTTGAAAAAATTAAATGTTTTTTAATTCAAAAAAGTATAATTAATTTAAATAATATAGAATTATAAAATAAAAATTTCAGATAAATTTTTTAATTAATTAATATTGATTTAGGTTTAAAAGTTATTGGATCTTAAATTATTAATTGGGTTTTAAATGGTTTGGGCTGAGCCCATATGTTATATATAAAAAAATGGTTGTCCCTTGTTCCCATATGTAATGAGGTAAGGGGGAGGTAAGATAGTAGACTGACCCAACACTAGGTTGAGAGCAGCTTCCGTAGAAGACCTCCAAATTATGAAATGCCCTCCATAGGACTCGATCCCAATACCTCAAGGTTAAAAACCTTGTGCTCTACCAACTGAGCTAGATGGTCATTTCAAATGGTTATCCCTTGTTCCCATATGTAATGGGGTAAGAGGGAGGTAAAATAGTAGGCTGCCCCCAACACCAGTTGAGAGCAGCTTCCGTAGAAGACCTCCGAATTATGAAATGCCCTCCGTGAGACTCGATCCCACGACCTCAAGGTTAAGAACCTTGTGCTCTACCATATATATAATTATAAAATATAAATTTTTTAATTAATTAATATTGATTTAGGTTTAAAAATTATTAGATCTTAAATTATTAATTGAGTTTTAAATGGTTTAGGCTGAGTTCATATGTTACATATAATATATTTAATATTTAAAATTTAATTTCGGTTAATTAACTGATTTCGAATCGAATTAACCGTTAACCGAATTCTAAAAATTTTCTTAACCGTTAACCGACCAAATTAATTCGGTAATCAAACCAAATTAACTAAACTAATTCGATTGGGTCGGTTAACCGAATTAATTCGGTTATTTGAACACCTCTACATGTATGTAATTGATGTCCCTATTTAGATAACTTTTATAAAATAACATGGAGATTTCTCTACAACAAGGTCAAGATGGCCGAGTTGGTCTAAGGCGCCAGTTTCAGGTACTGGTCCGAAAGGGCATGGGTTCGAATCCCATTCTTGACAAAAGCATTTATTTTTCCAGCTCCACATCAGATAAAATGAATATATATCTCACTTTAAATTAATTTTTTTATAAACCCTCTATTATTTTAATGAGATAAAATTTCATTTTTAAAAAATAAAATAAAATTAAGAGTTTAAATCTTATTATTTTTAATTAAATTATTCCCTTGACAGTTGGCATTGCTATTCAACCCTGCCTGCCAAAACACTTGTGCCCCGTAAGGTCAATCTAGTATATAATTAATAAATTACTCAAAATAATATTTAAAGGATTAAAACTGTTATTTTTATAATAGGTCGCGTTATGATTCTGTTTAATATTTAACGATTTATTATTTGTTTATAATAGTATTTTAATTGAATGATATGTTTGTATTTTTTAAAGAAATAATTTACTTTTTTTTTACCAAACATATAATTGAGTGACCCAATATTTTACCCTTAAAAGAAAATAGGGTAAATTACTCGTTTAATATCTAAACTATCAATTTTGATATATTTTAGTACTTAAACTTTCAATTTTTTTCAAAATCATACACAACCTTTAGTTTTTGTTTCATTTTACAACTGAGCCGATAAAAAATTAACTGTATTCTTATTCCCATTTTAGTACCAAAGTTTAAAATTTTTCAATTTAACTACTCAACTTTCAAATTGCTCTTGTTTTAATCACTCTAGTTTATTTTATTAATAATTTTTGTGACATGAAGTTATTTTATTAATATATAATTAGAAATAAAAATAAACTATGAGTAATTTGAAAGTTAAATAATTAAATTAAAAAAAATTAAACTTTAGTGACCGAAATAGGAATGAGAAAATAGTTGAGTGATGAATGATGCAATTTACCCATAAAAAAGATGTCACACGCAAATCACTCACTCGTCGAGTTTTTAACAACGATGTACTAAAACAAAACAAAAACTAAATGTTAAATATGATTTTGAAAAGATTAAAAGTTTAAGTACTAAAATGGATTAAAACTGATAGTTTAAATACTAAACGCGTAATTTACCCAAGAAAATAAAAGCTCAATTAGCATAGTTAAATTCAGTTTCTACACGGAATATGCCCAGGAGAAGGGCTGGCTTCTGCCATCCTTTGGGGCTTAGCTTACCACTGCAGCCTCTTGAGAAGCCAATACCTTTTGATGTCTGTAATTTAGTTGCCATTGCAGTACACTCTGTGCTCATACGCCGATGCGGCGGGGATGGTGGAATCCCTTACGTTCTTTCTTTGTGGTGGTCGTCCGGCTCACGGTCCCAGTCAGCCGGTTGTATAAAGTCGGTTGGTTCTTTGGTATCAAAATAGCTGTTAGGCTCATAATATTCTAAACAAAGTAGCATGCTCATTATGTTAGATATGCTTGCAGTGTATGGTGCAACGATGATAAGATGATGCCTGCTTGTGTACTTCCGCAAAAGAAAACTATACTAAGAACCACCTGGTTAGCTCCCTTTGTCAGGGAGAAATGGAAACAATTGGGCATATCCTAAGAAAATGCAAAGTCGCAAAATCAATACAACTCGCTTACCAAACTCACTAAAGAACCCAAGTGGGTTAGATGGAAAAAACCACCAAGGGGCTGCCGGATCTTGGATTCCAATGGTGTCTGCAGACAAAACATTGATTAGGCGACGGTGGCCGGTCTTATTGGAGATAAAGAGGGATATTGGATTCAAGGTTATATGATTAACATCGGAAAAGCAACGGTCACCTTATCAGAAATCTGGGGCCTCCGACAAGGATTATTGCTAGCAAAAATATAGGAGTGAAAAGAGTATGGGTTTGAAACATATGAATAATTGAGTGATTATTTTATAATTTTTAACAGTAGGAGGACTAAAAAAAGTAGTATCCTATAGTAAAAAATTATTTTACAACTTTTAATAGTTGATGACTCAACAAAACAACGCCCTATAGTCTGAGAACCATTTGTGTACTTTACATTTTCTAGTTATATGTAAACATGTTTAATTGTATGTTCATAAATATATTTGTTTAATGTTAGTGAACATCTTTACTTAATAAAATCAAATGCAATAAAAGTATTTTACCAAATATTATTCATATCATATTATAGGCTTATGTAACAAATAAGTACCTAAAGTATATATTATTTTAGAGAAAATAACCTCATTGATCAAAAATGCCTTATAATATACGATTTTAACCAACTTTTTTTGGATTTGCCAAAATGACCAACTAAATCGCAATGCGATTGATAATTCGCAACGCGATCTCCAGTATCGCAAATCAGTTTCCAGATTCGGAACGCGAACTTCGACTATCGCAATGCGAACTTGGACTATCGCAATGCGAACTTGGACTATCGCAATGCGAATATGTAAATCGCAATGCGATAGTCGAAGTTCGCGTTGCGATAGTCGAAGTTCGCATTGCGATAGTCGCAGTTCGCGTTCCGTTTTTCCAAATTCGACTATCGCAACGCGAACTTCGACTATCGCATTGCGATTTACATATTCGCATTGCGATAGTAGAAGTTCGCGTTGCGATTTATTCCAAATTCGTTGCGATAGTCCAAATTCGGGTCGGGTCGTGGTAATACGTGTCTTCGACACGTCCGCGCGAATAATATATTTTTAGAGAAAATTCTTAAGAAACAAATGCAATACTATCGCAAAGAATTTGGAATAAATCGCAACGCGAACTTCGACTATCGCAACGAATTTGGAAAATCGCAACGCGAACTTCTACTATCGCATTGCGATTTACATATTCGCATTACGATAGTCCAAGTTCGCATTGCGATAGTCGAAGTTCGCGTTGCGAATCTGGAAACTGATTTGCGATACCGGAGATCGCGTGGCGAATTATCGATCGCATTGCGATTTAGTTGGTCATTTTGGCAAATCAAAAAAAAAAGTTGGTTAAAATCGTATATTATAAGGCATTTTTGGTCAATGAGGTTATTTTACCTAATTTTTTGTCAAAATAAATACTTAAAGTTATATTTTTAATCAAAATAAGTACCTAAAGTATTTTTGGTCAAAATAGGTACTTAAAGTATTCAATTTTTGTCATCTAAGTACCTAAAGTATTCTTTAATTAATGTCACATGTCAATTTTTTTAGAACTTAAATGAAAAAGTTTGAATAGTTTAAGTACCTATTTTGACATAAAATACTTTAGGTACTTTTTTGACCAAAAAGATAATTTTAGATACCTATTTTTGATGGAGAGAGTATACGCACTTATTTGTGGTATAAGCCCGTATTATAATTTAAGATTGTATTTTTAACAATCTCTTGCTACACTCAAGCTCCTCCCTCCACCGCTATCGACAGAAACTCTCCATTTATGGCATTGAACATCACTATAATTTCGGATCACCAAATGACCATTTCTTACAATTCCATGTTTCAACAAACCAAGACCAAAGACAACCTCAAAAACTACCCCCCACATATGATCCTCTTTTAGCCTTTGCCTCCCCTCCTCCAATTCTTAGTTTTCCCAACAAAACCAAACCCAAACCCTAACAAACCAAAGTGGTCGAGCAATATGTTGCAGGCAGACATGTCTTTCGCATGTCCTTTGGTTTAACGATTCTTTTCCTCTCTTTTTTTTTTTGGAAGACGACATACATTAATAATAATAGCAGTTTCTGGGTAAGTTCAGTTTTGGCTGTTGTTGTTCTGTTGATGATCGGTTGATGTCTTTGGCCGTTGATGGTCCGAGTTCCAGTAATATTATGGATAACGACAAGGGCGCTGCTGAGAAGAAGAGTCATGAGGGTGACGAGGATGATGATAATGATCAGGATGAGAGCAGTTTGCAATTGGGTCCTCAGTATTCTCTCAGGGAACAGCTTGAGAAAGATAAGGTTATTTCATTTTTTGTTGTTGTGTTTTTGGACCGTGTATGTATGTATGTGTGTGTTTCTATTACATGCATGCATGCAATGTTTTACTGTCATTATGCTATGTTGGTGATGGTTGCTTGAGTGTAGGATGATGAGAGCTTAAGGAAATGGAAAGAACAACTTCTTGGTGGTGTGGATATTAACAACATTGGAGGTATGTATTAACAGATTCTTGGCGGATGGTCATGGTCGGTTCAGATCAAATTTTTAATTCATCTGAATTTAACTTGATCCGAATTTAGAGAAACTTCATTGACCCAAAATACGTTATAGTTTCTTGAGTAAAATCTCGCACCCACACTTTACCTGACACATATATAATTCTCATTTTTGTTAGGTAAAATAAGGATCTAATTGAAAAAAAAACATAAATGTATTATAATAATTATTTCTAAAGGTTTATCATATTAATTAGGTCGGGTCGAAGATTTTTCACCTTAAACTTGAACCCCAACCCGATTTTATCCTAAAAAAACCCTAGTCCAAATTCAATTTTTTAACAACAAAACTCGACCCTATAGAGTCGGATTGAAACACATCAGATAAAGATCAAATGTACATCCCATGGTATGTATCTCACGTAAATATACTTATTTTTTTTCATATATTTGGAGGAATTAATAATCATCTCCAAGTATATATAGGATGTATAGATTTTGGATATATGCATATTAAATGTTTAAATAAGGATCTAACCTTTTAGGGATTACTTATAAGATTTAATCTTTAAAAAACAGTTGAATTAGGGTTTAATATTTATAAATAAGTTCAAATAAGGATCTAATCTTTTAAAAAGGTCAAATAAAAGCCTAGCCTTTTCAAATATGTTCAAATAAGGATCTAATATTTTCAAATGTTGAATGCAGAAACACTTGAACCAGAAGTGAAGTTCCTAAGTGTGGCAATCGTGGCTCCCGACAGGGAAGACATAGTTCTTGCAATCCCCGAAGATGGGAAGCCCCCTGGTTTATGGTTCACACTGAAAGAGGCGAGTCATTATCGCCTCAAATTCTCTTTCCAAGTCAGCAACAACATCGTATCTGGTCTCAGGTACACCAACACTGTCTGGAAAACTGGTGTCAAAGGTAAAAAATCACTTAACCCTAAACCCTACTATCTGAATGATGATTGTTCATCATAAACGGTCCAAACACGACTCGAAAAAACTCAAACCCTTTTTCGGTTTCAGTCTACAGCACGAAAGAGATGATCGGAACTTTTAGTCCTCAGTTGGAGCCTTACACACATGAAATGCCTGAAGAGACTGCCCCTTCTGGGTTCTTGGCTAGAGGATCATACACTGCTAAATCAAAGGTTTTTTTCTTCTTCTTTGAACTAATGCAAATGGTCTACTTAGGTCAATAAACATTCATTAGAGAAATATTCAAATATTAATTAGAGAAATATGTTATGGACCAATTTGAACTCATACAAATGTTCTGAGATTAAATTAAGACTTTAGATACACTTAGAATATTAATGAACCAAATTTTATCATTTTTCAGTGAGCCAAAATACAAGAGATCGATCTTTGGATTCCATTATACAAAGAACACAAATGGATCGATCCTTTAGACAAGGAATCAAGTTATCCATATTTAGGGAATTAACCGAGTAGTTATTTGACAATTTTACCCCTCTATTACTCATAAAAGGTGTAGTCCTCCTCCCAAATTAAAACATATAATTGATGGTTTCATCTCATTCTTCTCCCAAAAACTTCTTCTGAATAGATCAACACAAGCGGGCCTCATTTCGGTATACAAAATTTGAAAGGCTGTGTTAGTCTTGAGAGACAATGTCCATTATAATGATTACAACAATCCTAGCTAAATTATTTCTAACGCAATGATTTTTACCACGACACAATAATTATTTTATTTTCTTTATTTTAATTCAAATAACATTATTTTTTTATTTTATTTTTCAGTTCCTTGATGATGATAACAAGTGCTACTTGGAGATCAACTACACATTTGCTATCCGAAAGGACTGGGGTTCTGCTGAATAGATCAGAACAGCATTTGATCATCAAATGCCAAGCACATTTCATTGCTTATTATGCCTATTTTTTAATATATATTCAGTTTCAGACTTTTTTTCCTTCTTCGAGCAGCTAGTTTTCGTTTTGTTCCCCCCACAATAAACACAAGTGATGAGATGAGAAAGGTTTCACTTGGAAAATTTAAGGTTTTATTATGATTATGAGCAAATTGGGTTTAATTAGCATGTTTTTGATTAGGGACATTCTTTTCATAATTAATGATGTCTTCAACTCTAGATATTGTTCTTCTTCTACTCTTCTAATCCATCTATGTGCATACATTAATAACGAGTGATGAGTCAGATGATGTTTTCTTATATATTTAAATTATATATTTTTTTAAAGTATGTGTCTAACATTCTCCGTTATCATTTAAGGTGCCTAAATTTTAATTATATTAACATTTTAAGGTCATTCCGTCAATAACTATTAAAAATCTATCAACCAATGATGATTTGACTCATGACATTAACTTATGATTAATATTGATTTTTAAAAAATAAAGAATATTAAATTTCAAACTTTTTTAAAATAGTTGTATAGTTTTCTCTTACTCCCTCCAAATTCCTAAATCCTCCAAAGATCAAAGATCATGAGAAAAGCGACAACTGAAAGTTCGAACAATTGAGTTTTGATTTGAGTTCAATGACAAAAATGATAAGTGATGTTTGATTTGACGGTGACATATGTGATTTAGGGATTTAAGAATTTTGAATAATTTTAATATTTTAATTTTTTTTAGAAAAATAATGATTTTTAATTTTTTAATATTACAAGTAATTATTCAAAAACTTATAAATTTAATAATAAAATGTGTAGCTCTCATAAAATTTTTGAGTAACTTTTAAAAAATAAATAATTACTTAAAATTTACAAAATATTTTAAGTTTGATTTTATGAGAAATTTATATAATGGTATAAACAATTTTTCAAAAAGGTTACAATGTATATAATATAATTTTTGACTTTGATATTGAAATCACTCTATAAGTTTTGATTAATTATTCATTTTGTTATAAACATATTTTTTACTAAACAATAAGAATGATTCGTTTTGTTGATCTTGAGCACGGATGTAGGAATCAACCCCGCCCGTCACCATGGCGACTTAGCTGGCGAAGGAAGAGGAAGTAAAACAAAGAAGCCACAAAAGAGTTAGATCTACGGAGGATAATGACACTAGAATGGACATGTCGACAGGTAAATCTTGGCAAGATACGATGGTGGGATCACCCTTTTTTGTAGGGATATTCTAGACTTCGGTAGGAATCGAAGAAGAATCAAAGAAGAAGAAGAAGAAGAAGAGCGAGATTCAGATGATGATGATGATAAAGAAGAGACAGATGCAATCCCAATAGTCGAGAGAAAAAATCAGAGAACCGTGGAGAAAGACATCAATCATCAAGTTACTGTGGAAACTAATTGCTTACAAAGTGCTAATTAGTAGGATCATTGCCCTATGAAAATTAGACGGGGAATTCGAGTGCATCGACCTGGGTAATGGCTTCTACACTATAAAGTTTCAACTTATGGAGGATAAGGTGAATGTTCTAATGGAGGGTTCCTGGAAGATAATGGATCATAATGTTACGGTGAAAAAATAGCGGCCAAACTTCACTGCAAACAATGGTGACATTTCATCCACATCAGTCTGGATTCATATTCTGAGACTCTCAATAGAGTATGTTGAACATGTATTCTGATATAACAAATAAGGACAAAATGTTTTTGGACTTAATTGAATTTGTTCAAATGATTCAAAAATAATTCAAAGTCTACAAAATTTGAAAAATGTTTTCCAAGTATTTTTGACTTGATCTACACCTTAAAGTATGTTTAGAAACTCAAAATAAGTCAAAATAATCAATTTTTGGAGTAAGGTTTCGAAACCCCCTTTAAGGTTCCGAAAGCTCTGAGGTAGAATGCTCAAATGGTCAAAATTTCCTTATGGTTTCGAACCCCTTGATTGGTTTCTAAAACCCCTTGCCTGGTTTTTAAACCCTCGGTAGGGGTGTGCGCATTTTGATTTTAATTGAATTCGACCAAATCAAATTAATTCATTTAATCAATTTATAATTAAAATAATTATAGTTAAGAACTTATCAATGGCCTCAACGGTAAAGAAAAAAGTTAATCTCCTTAGAAGTTATGAGTTCGAGCAATAATATTTGTATGATATATGTTCAGTGTCAATAAGTTAAGAAAATTCTAAACAAATATTACCTTATAATAATCTCAAACTATTCAAAAAATAATAAAAATTAGAATTAGAATCAGTTGAAGATTTTTAAAAAATTAATTATCTATTAATTCAATTCGAATTCAATAAATTAATCGAACTAACATATTAGTTGAGATTTAAGCCCAAAGCTTGTTCTTCATTTTCTTCCCACAAGAGACTAAAAGTCAAAAGTTAAGGGGAAAAAAACCTAATTTGAACTTTCAACTTTGTTCTTCCTTTTCTTTTTAATGAATAAATATAGGCATTAAACCTACTTCATGACATTATATTATAGGTGTGTGATGGAACTCAAATAATATTATTAAATTAAATAGAAAATTTATTTATGTTATTGTAAAATTAGTTAATTTATATGTTCTTTTATTTGATTTATTTTGCCACAATAATAAAATTAGCTTTTGTTATTCAAATAGTCATTTAAATCCTTATTTTTTTGGATAATTTTGTCTCTAATATTTTAATTTCGATCAAAATAATGACTTTAGATAAAAATTATTGGTAACTAACGATTAACACGTATTTCTATAATGTTATTTTTATATGTGTTTAATTAATGATGTGACGTGTATCATATCAGTTAAAGTGGTAATATGACATATGCCATATTATTTAAGATGATGATACAGTATATATTACATTACTAAAGTGATGACATGACATATATCATATTATTAAAGTAATGATATTAATGATATGACATGTGTCATATCACCAATCAAACATAAGAGTATGTTGATAGATTGTAATTAGTTTTCTGAAAAATAATTTACATAAAATGAATAACCTAAAAATGTTTTAGGTAAAATGAATTACATTTTTTTGGGAAATAGTTTTCGAAAATTATTTTACGATGTTTTGATGATATTGTGTAAATCATTTTCACTAATTGTTTGATACACTATAATTAATTTTATAGAAAATGATTTACATAAAATGAATAAAGTTCGGTTCTGATGTACCAAAAAATAAAGTTTGGTTCGGTTAATATTTTAAAAAAATTATTCGTTTAGCGATTAAAGGAAAAATTTTGGTTTATTTAGTTAATGTTAATTCAATTCGATAGGTGATTGAATTAACCATTTGAAAACCTTTAATTTTAATTATTATTATTTTATTAACATAATACTAAATTATTATATCAATATTAATATTAAATATATAAATTAATATTATTCATTATTAATAATTGAATAATATTATATTTATAAAAATAATAAATAATATGAATTATATTAATAATTTATTATATATTATTATTAAATTAAAAATATAATATCATATATTATTATAATATATCTAAGTATACATTAATATAATATTAAAATATAATATTTTTAAAATTATATTAAATGTATATTAAATGTTTTAATAATTAATATTTTTAATAAAATGATATTAAAATATTAATGTAATATTAAATGTATAAAATAATATTTTTTTTTGAGTGCCTACACAGTGAAAAGTTAGGAAAATGTTTTATGAAAAATCAGATAGTAAAACAATTTACAGAAAATACAAAGAAATTGGGAAAATGAATTACATACGGAAAAACAATTACAACTATCAAACACAGGAAAATGAAGAAAATGTTTTCTGAAAAACATTTTCCATCTATCAAACACATCCTACGTGAAAAATATCACATCAACAACATGTTTTGATCGCTAGTTAACTAATAATTTTCATCAAATAAGAACTATTCTGACCATAAATTAAAATATTGAGGAATTAAAATACTCCAAAATTAAGAGACAAAATGATTATTTAAATAAATATTAAGGGTTAATTTTATTAAAAAAATCACTATTTAAATAAAATAATAACACATAAATTAATATAGAAATTCGGTTTTAGAGAAACCACTTGTAGTTTTTTTAGTTGATAGATAAAATCTAAAGGCATCACAATACCTTAGAAAGCGCATATATAAACCCAACAAATCTACAAACAAAGAAATTATTAGATGGTTCCAGATCACTACGTCATCTATGATCGCGATCAATAATATTTGTTTACATCTTTTTTTAAGGTGAATTTTCACATTTTTCCTACATGTAAATAAAAGATGAGTGATTATTTTGCAGTTATTTTGAAATTTGTAATTGCCATTCATTGGAACCATGGAAAATGTGGTGAGTCGGGTCCATGAAATAATAAAGGTACTGAAAATCCTACAATAAACAATCAACTTTTTAAATGGGGTTAAAATAGAATTTTTGTCACAAAGAGTATTTGAAGATTTCTGCATTTATGTTTTCTTTTAATTTTTTTTATTAAATTAATCATATTTTTAAAACAAATCAAATTTTTTCCCATAATCTTTAGGATAAAGTACACAAATAGTTTACCGATTATAGATCAATATTTTGTTAAGTTCCTAACTATTAAAGTTATAAAATAATTTTTTGACTATAGAGCATTACTTTGTTAAGTTCATCAATTATCAAATGTTACAAAATAATCATCCAACTATTAATATGTTCCAAAGTCATCATTTTCTGTTAAAAAATTGATTACAATCTGGGTTAGACGTTAACCTTTGATTGAGATATGATAAAATCTGATCCAAGAATCTCAAATGGTTATCATATATCAATTACCATATTAACATCCAACTTAGAAGATCGTCAATTTTTTAACAAAAAAAGACGAGTTTGAAACATATGTATAGTTGGATAAGCCTTTAATAATTGAGGGACTTAACATAGCAATATTCTATAATCGGGGATCGTTTTGTTAC